CCCCCCCTTCAGCACCAGGTTGTCATTAAGTTTATTATTAAACACAAGGTCGACTGCGAATTAATGCAGGACACATACACATCAGCAATCAAATGACAGACCAACATACTAAAGGACTGAAAGACTAACCGAAGAAGATCCTTCTTCTCGAAGCTGGCTCCAATACGTTTGGTGGCGGTTTGCCTAAAATCTATGAAAATCAAAGACGTAAATAGAAAAACTTCCAACGTTGAAAATTCGCTTAGATTGGAATAAATGTCGAAGAAAGACAGTACTGTGGCTCACTTAGGTACGATCTGAACAGCAATTCTCCTAACCACCCACTGCACATTTAGTTCATAATTAGTAGAGAGAACTGAGTGTTAAAACAAGATACGATCCTCTAACTAATAAGGTTAGCGATTCTCATCCGTTTTTGTTGGATTTTTCATGGAAATTGAACGGAGAAATTACATGCTGATCACGAAGGACTGATGTAACCGGAGAGAAGAGTTCTAGGTTTTCTCAAAACGCGACCTTAAGCGAAATAAAAAGAAAAAAAAATGTCACCTCCATTATACATGCTAGCTGTTCCACTTCATTTTCGCCGGGAAACAGAGGATAGCCAGTGTAAAGTTCAACAAGAATACACCCAAAACTCCACATATCAATCGCCATATTGTAAGGAATACCTGAAGACATGAAACGAACAACGAAGTAAGCGGAGATGAATCAACGCTGCTGAGTAAGTAACGTATTCGATTCCCCATCGAGCTGTTCGGAATCCGAAGTGGGAGAGGAAGGTAGCTTGTGATCTTGCTTTTAAGAAGTGGATACACAACTGTAATCTATTTTTGAAATACCTACTTAAGAAAAAAATATCAGTCGCGCGTATTTCGATGAACATGGTGAAAAACAACCATCAAAGTAATCACAAAGGCCAAAATGAGTGAATGAAGAGATTGCATTCGTTCAATGAGACTCGCCTAAAGAAACTTTACCGTAAAGGAGAATAACTTTTTCAGCTCACCTAAAATGACCTCTGGTGAACGATAGAAACGACTTTGTATGTATGTGTACACTGTAAAAAAAGGTGAACAAACAAAACAGCGTTTAATTAATGTGCAAGATGAAAGGAAAAAATAACTTTTTAAAGATTTATCATTAAAGAGGTTCTCGTTTTTCCATTAAAGTTTTACAACCCGTTCAATGCGCGCACCCACCGAGGGAGAATCACCAATTGGGATTGGTCAATTAAAATGTAAACTCTCCGTTGATTGGATGGAAATAAAGTTTTGAACCCGAAGCAAAGTGACGACCAAAGCTGGATAAACATCAGCCAAAATACTAATTTTCTTTGATAGAGCTAAAGTTACTTCCGTAAGATGCATCTCACATATAAATCTGAGGTATGGCATAGCTAACCCACGAAATCTCTTCAGCTCATTTGGTGAAGTTACCTTCCCAGGATTGGGAACCGAAAATGGTTTGAATTCTCACAAAAATACTCCCAACAGATATTAAATATCTTCGTCTCATCTTTACCTCTTTGATGCTCGTAGCAACTCGAACCAAAGTCTATTACTTTAATGGAACTTTGCCCTCTTTGTCGTAGCAAAATATTTTCCTACAAATAATAAAAAAAAAGTATCAGTGGAGAAAATTCAACTGCAATATCAGTGAAGAGACAGGCCATCGCACTGAATTTTGTTTCAAAGCCTTGGCGTAGTACTCTAACTGCACGCCAAACATTATGCTTCTTACAACATTGGATGAATTACCGGTTTTAAATCGCAATGAATAATCTTTTCCTTGTCCAAAACTCTTAAGCATTGAAGCAAGGAATAAGCAAACCTGAAAGGAAAAAGAAAACGTTCAGCATAAAAATCACAACATCAATACTAATACACCATTTTAGACTTTGATACAGGCAAAGAGCGAACTGGAAAAAGGAAAATGAGATGAGCGAAAAGCAATATGCTAGATGCTGAATACAAAATGCGAAATTCACTTAGTGACATTTGCAAAGTAAACTATTTAAGTGCAATATAA